TCGGATAACTGACTGTTCACATATCTTCTACGTGCATCCCATCAAATAAATTCAGGAATCAAAGTAACGACATCGATCTACTTTGACCCAACCAATCAGCCCCAGTGGCGACACCGATCCACTGTGACTCAACAAACTAACCAATCTCAGTGGCGACACCGATCCACTGTGACTCAACCAACCAACCCTAGTGGCGACACCAATCCATTGGTACGAACCTAGAAGATATATCAACAGTCTTATCCGATTACATAAACATGGACTTTCCCACCCCAACTCATCTTGCTTTTCTAAGTCAACAATACACATGTATCTAGGTCTTACTCACGTCACACAGGTCATTCTAGTCATAAACTACCAATGTTCTCAAACACAACAACGAGATAATAATAACATTAACTTCACGCAACCACATCATGACATGTCGAATATAGTAAAATATTCACAAAACATGAAATGTAATCATGAACAACAACTACGTACTTCAGAAAATAATTCTTTTCCCAAAATAATTTCTTTTAAAAATTATTTCTCATTATAATAATCCAAAATATTCTCTTTCCTAGAATAAATTCTTCAAAATTATTTCTCATCAATTATTATTCTAAAATAATTCTTTTTCTCAAAATAAATTCTTTTTAAATATTATAAATTCTCCAAAATGATTCTGTTATCAAATAAATTTTTTCACTTCATTATCATTATTTCGAAAATACTATTTATCATTTAACTATGATTTAAATTAATATTATTCATCAAACCTACGCAGATAATAACAATTATAAATTAACATAACTAGATAATTCACCAATTCATCAACAAGCTCACGCAGATAATAACAATTCATAATCTAATCTATGTAACTAATTAACGACATATATAAATTGTAAATGACGAGTCAAGAGGAGCGGGATCTTGCCTCGGGTTCGTCGAACGAATCGACGTCGATGTGCGTGTCCACGGGTCTGATCTGAGCGCAGGTATGAACGACGGGCTGCTGGCTTGGCGTGGCGAAGGCGGCTGCGTGGTTAGCGGAGGACAGAGAGGAGGGGACTGGGGGAGGCTAACGGCTCAGGTGGCTGTCAAGGGCTGCGAGGGGAGGCGGAGGTGGTGGAGATCTGGTTGCTGGCGGACGCTGGCTGTCGGTGGTAGTTCAGGCGAGTTTGGGGGCGGCGAACTCGGCGATTGGTGTATATATATATATATATATATATATATATATATATATATATATATATATATATATATATATATATATATATATATATATATATATATATATATATATATATATATATATATATATATATATATATATATATATATATATATATATATATATATATATATATATATATATATATATATATATATATATATATATATATAATATTAGGGTTAGGGTTTAAATGAGAAATAATTAAAATAAAATAATTACGGGTACCTAAAAATTAAACTAATTACATAATAATTATCTACAAATAAAAACGTACACGTTGAGCTAATATAACAGTTGATACGAAATAGTTAAAATATATACATATTATACAATTAAACAAGAATAATTAATATTAATAATAAAAATATATTTACTTACATTTAAAATCAAATAATTATTGAATAATTATATACACAGTAAAACGTACAAGTTATACTAATATGACAGATAATATGCAACAGTAGAAATAATACAACAAATTATACAAATAATACGTAATTAATAATACAACGTATTATACAAAAATATATGTAATAATAATAATACCACGTATTATTCAAAATGATACGTAATAGTTTTGGTAACTCAACGAATAAATTCCAGAAATTTTTATAGCACTAAATAAATTTATAAATATCTAAAACATTTAAATAATTATAAAACTTGGACTTTAAATCATAGAATATTCTAGAAAATCGAGAAAAATATAAATATTCTTTTAAAAATCATAATTAAATATTTTAAAATACTAAAAAATTATTTTAACTAGTATCAAAATTCACGGTCATTACATTGGCTGTGGTTGTTTTCGGCAGAAGCTTTTTTGGGCTTCGTGCAGGTGCAGACAATTGCAGAAGGCAGCGGTAGAAGTCAGCCGTTCTTTAAAGGTTTTGAGTATCCTTTTGAGAGAGAGATTGTGAGGGAGTTGAATGATTGTTTGAGGTTTTAAGTTGTGAGATTATAAACCCTAGGTGTATTCTCTCCCTCTAATAGTAGATCTCCCCCCTCCTTGCTCATGGACGTAGGCTATTTGCCGAACCACGTGAAATTAGTTTGTCTCGCTATTTGTGTGATTTGTAATAGCTTATTTAGGTTTTCTCGACAAGTCAGTCCTAGAACTGATGAGAGAAAGAGCTGATATTTCACTTTGTTGAGATATTTTGCTTTTGGTTCTTATTTGCTTAGTGAAACGGGAATTTTTATTGGGACAAATTTTTAAAAACGACTCTTTTTTAAATTTATTATGCAAAATCGACCCTCTAAGAAATTAATGAGCAAAACCGATCATTTTCTTAAGAAAATGGTCGGTTTTACAACTTAACTGTATTGTGAACTGCACGGGACTACTAGTCCCGTGCAGTCTATGATTTCGCTCTTTTAGAAAATCCATGAATAAGGTTACGTGTACAAATAACGCGGTTGATAGAAAGATTTCTCTATAGGTTTCTAGATTCTTCCACCGTGAGCTCTCATGGCTACCATATAAATCCGAGCTCTAGCTTTATTGGGTTTGTTGGAAAACTCATAAAAATCTCATTTTGGTGAAGGGGTTAGAAGAAGGTTTCTATTTTGCTGGTAATTACTTCTGGGCTATATTTGAAATCTTTAATTTGATTCATCCACCCAATATATCTTCATCTGGGTGTTCTTGTTTTCGGTTGAATTTATTGGGTATTCTTGTTTTCGGTTGAATTTATTGTTTTTTGATTGATTTGATCTGAAGAAGAGGGTTCCGTTGATGGGTTTCTTGTAGAATGGCCTACTGAGATGATTTAAAGTAATTTTAGGATAAATACATTATATTGAATGAATCATTGGCTGCTTCTAGATATTGGTGCCATCTGTGCTCAAGAATTGTGGACCCAGTAATGGAGGTTGAGATCAAATGACCTCTCTACAATGGTGGATTCATTGAGGAAATGGAAGCCCAAGAAAACCCAGCGCTTTCCTCCGCTAATAACCCAATTCAACATCTGATTCTGATCAGGACCTCTCCTTATGGGCCCCCATCCTACTCAGCATGCTCAACGATGGCCTCCGCCGTCGCCGGAGGTCTCAGATGAATGAAGGACAAGAGGAAGAATCAAACGCAGCCTCTGAACAAGACAATGAGCTCGCGTCCCTCTTACGTCGACGCCGGCGAACTTCGGCCATCCTCGACGTCCTCACGGACATCCAACAAAGGTTGCACATCAGAGACCAAGAACAAGGAGAGAGACAGGGAGAACATATGATCCTAATCAATCCCTTCAACCAAGCTGTGATCATCCCGGGGGGAGCCATTGATCCCACCAGCATAAACCGCAACATCAGAGCTTCGGTAGGGGATTATTTCATCGGCCCTGGCCTCGATCAGCTGCTACAACATTTGGCTGAGAATGATCCTAATAGGCAAGGGACTCCTCCGGCGAGTAAAGAGGCGGTCGAGGCGATGGCTAGAATTAAGATCGAGGAGAAAATTGGGAGTTGCTATGTCTGTTTGGAGGAGTTTGAGATAGGGGAGGAAGCGAGGGAGATGCCTTGCAAGCATAAATTTCATGAGGGGTGTATATTGCCCTGGCTTGAGGCTCATAGTTCGTGCCCCGTCTGTAGGTTTCAGATGCCCGTTGAGGGGCCGAAGAACGAGTCCATTGGCGCTGGCAATGGTAGCACAGGCGCAAGTGGGGGTAGTAGAGGAGGAGGTAACGGCAATGGTAATAATGGCAGTGGGGGGAGGTCGTGGATGCCGGTGCCTTGGCCTTTTAGTGGATTGTTTTCGTCTTCGTCTTCGTCGCCTTCTCAAAACGGAGGGGATGGGAACGGGAATTCTCTGAATGAGTCCAATGGCGCTGGCAATGCTAGCACGGGTGCAAGTGAGGGTAATAGAGAAGAAGGTAATGGCAATGGTAATGGCAACGGGGGGAGGTCGTGGATGCCGGTGCCTTGGCCTTTTAGTGGATTGTTTTCGTCTTCGTCTTCGTCGCCTTCTCAAAACGGAGGGGATGGGAACGGGAATTCTCTGTCAGAAGATGGTCCTGATGAGCATTGAAGAAGTTTGTTCATTGATCATCTTGTTCTTTGTTGAGTTCAGTGGTATGATGCTGTACATAGTCTTCTGTTTCGTGAATTGGAATTGTGGCTTAATAAAATTGAATACCGTGATCTTGTCCGAGCCTAATTCATTGTGCTCCTTCTGCGCTCGTTCTTCATCTGTGTCAGCAGAGCAATCAGTAAAACCAATGCCGAGTCTTGCGACAGTAAGCCGATAGAGGGTGATGCTTGCGGAAATGCTATTATGGGCGGTACCTGAGACGTTTGTTTGAATCATTTAGGCTCGTATCATGTTAGCGGACAGTAGATGAGAAGTTTATTTGAGTCATTTAGGCCATCTTTAGCGCCGTTAATTTAGTTTAAAGGCTAACATATCTTTTACAGCAGTTAATGTTAGCTAATCCCTCATCCAGAAGAGCTGGCCATTTTTATTCTACTGGTTGGGATTTCGTTGCTATCCATAAAGCAAGAGTAATCTTTGTATAAATCTGATGAGACGCTAATCAGTTCACCGAACTATTACAAACTATCGAAAGTTGTACGTTGATATGAACTTTCTTAGTAACATAATAAGCACATAGAACTGGATCAGATAACCATCAAATTAAAATGAGAAAAATGAACATCCATCCAAATGGCTCCTCAGCAATCCCAGTCAATAATATTTGAAATAAACTGTAACTTGTTCAATTGTTTGAACCTACAGAATCAAACTAGCAGTAGATAGCAAAAGATAAAACCCAGAAAAATATTAATCAAACCAAAAAAGAAAAATCCCAAATTATTCCAATTTAATAACAAAAGTATCGGATAATATTTCCAAAGACGAAACACCGTCCTTGCTGACAAAAGTAGCATATACTTCAACAAAATCGCATACCCCACACCAAAAACAAGAAGGCAAAACCAGCAGGGAAACATAAAGTACTTTCAAACAAAAACGCTTCCCCACCAAAAAAAATTAACTACTCCGTAATCACTGTTTGATTATCTTGTGAAGAAAACAAGTAAACGGAGCCCCAAAAAGCTCCCAAAAATTACTTAACAGTCACGAGCTTGATCACGGAAGAAGCCCCAACTCGATGCAAAGCAACAACAGAATCCCCAGGCTTACAAAGCCCCAAATTCTTCGCGTGCTGAACTGAAAACTCAAGCGCTTCCTCCGTAGCCTCAGTATGAGAGGCTTTAGCCGATCCAGCACTCAAAACTGGAATCAAACCTCTGAATATGAGGCTGTGCCGTGCTGGAGCCTCGTCACTAACCAACCAGCTAAAGGACTCATCAGGCTTAATCTCAGGAACCACCACAGACAAAATGGGAATTGCCGGCCTGTACTTGGCAACGAGCTTTGCAGTGCTACCACCTCTAGTCAAGACTAATATCAGTGAAGCTCTAGCGGAGTTTGCAGTTCTAACTGCTGATGATGCGAGACTCTCTATAGGACTCATAGGGACTGGTGCTTGAGCCATTATCCCTTTGAACACAGCTCCATAATCTAAGTATGATTCTGCCTCTACGCAAATCTTGGCCATTGTTTGAACCGCCAGCTCAGGATAAGCACCAGCAGCGGTTTCACCACTAAGCATGACACAGTCGGTGCCATCGAGGACGGCATTGGCCACATCGGTGGCTTCAGCTCGAGTTGGGCGAGGGGATTTGATCATAGATTCGAGCATTTGGGTTGCGGTTACAACAGGTTTTCCTTGCACATTGCACTTGAAAATCATCACTTTTTGGGCGTAGAAGATCTTCTCGATGGGGATCTCCATGCCCAAGTCTCCTCGAGCAACCATGAAAGCATCAGAGTTTGCAAGAATGTCATCGAAATTTGCCACCCCTTCTTGATTCTCAACCTGCAAGCAAAAATAACAAAGCAACTAGACCTTTAGTGCTAATACTGAAACCTGTAACCCCATTTTGTAGTATGTACATCTTCCATCATGTAAAAATATAAGTTTTTCTTTGAACTTAAGATAATTTTGTTTTCATTTTATTTTCTGAATGCATGCTTTTCTAGAAACTGTGTCTTTGAAAAGGAAACCAGGAAAAAAAATGCAGTTGAATATGTTCTCGTTATCCACTGCTAAAAATAGACGGAAGTGCTATATTCATGTCTATCATATACCCAACCAAACATTATTCGCAAATGATTATTTCTATAGGAATTAATTGTGGATGGACCCCCTGCACTATTGACAAATTGAACTTACTACCCATGTAGTTCTATTGTCACAGATGGACAACCTGAAAAGTGTGAATTTTTTTTTCACTCAGGCTCCATCTGCAACATGGGTAGTGTAGCAAGTTCAATGTAGCAATGGCACGGGGGGTCTATCCGCAATTAACCCTTTTTGTAAATAACCAAAGGTAAGTGTGCAAACCTTGGACATCAGCATAATTGTCTTTGCATGTTCTCCAAGGACTTTCCTGACCTCCACGAGATCAGAACCTTTGCGCACAAATGATAGAGCAATCATATCAATCCTATTAGGGACACCCCATTTTAAGATATCCTCTTTGTCCTTCTCAGTTAGTGTAGGAAGATCAACAACTACTCCTGGAAGATTGACATTCTTCCTCTCACCAAGAAGAGCAGAGTTCTCACAGCGGCAGCGAACTATTCCATTCTTTTTATCACAAGAAAGAACCGTTAGCGTGATTGTTCCATCTGCACATAGTATGGTGCTCTGTGGCTTGACATCCTCGGCTAACTTTTTGTAGCTCATGGCTATGGTATTCTCATCACCCTTGATGCTATAATCTGTGGAGATGGTGATCTCTTGGCCCTTAGTTAGACGAATGGGCTTTCCGTCTTTCAAAAATCCAGTTCGAAT